TATTTCGCTGAGCATGATGCCTTCCAGCTCCATCCATGTTGCTGCAAATTGCATGAGTTTACTTTTTTTGATTGCTGAGTAATATGGAATCTGTATTTCTTAACAAACTCTGATACAGCTATCACACCTGACTCAACTGAATTCTACTAGCCCAACTTTTACATTCTACCTGGTAATTCTGGTTCCTCTTGTCCACTAAGTGGCCAGGGCCAGATAAAGTCCACAGACATTAAAGGCTCATTCCCAATGCTACCCCATTGGGAGTAAATCAATATGAAACAATACTAAGTGGTGTTTTTTAAAGAGGAAGGAGGCCAACAATGATCTTATTTTTCCCCATGGTGTGGTGGTTAGAATAATGTTCCCTCCCAAGATATTCACCAGCTAATCCCTGGACCCTGAGCGAATGTTTTATTGCACAACAGGGGAGAATTAAGATTACTAGTGAGCTGACCTTGAGATAGGAGACCAGTGACTACAACCAGGGGCGTTCAACATAATCACGAGACTCCAGTGAGTCACGTCTGATAGCAGAGTGGAGGTTGGAGTCATACCCTTGCTGACTCTGAAGAGAAAGGATGGGGCCACAAACATGGGCGGTGGCAGCTTCTAGAAGCTAGAAAAAGCAAGAAGACTGCTTCTTCTGTAGAGCCTCCAAAATGAACACAAGTATGCCAACACCTTCATTTTACTCCCATGATACGTCTAACCTACCTAGCTATAAGATAATAGAGTTGTGTAGTTTTAGGTCAACTCCTTGCAATAACTTTTTTAAAATGATTTATTTATTTATGCATACAAGAGCCAGGATGTAGGCCAGAGATGCGAGGGGTGAGAGGATTCACCAGAGACAGAGTGGGGAGCAGAGGAGAGGTCTGCTAGGCCATATGGGTCACCTCCCTGGCCAGGGATCGAACCTGTGCTACAGTAGGTGCGGATTGCTTCATAGTGCTGATGCTTGCGCCACCAGGGAGGCTGGTAATAAATTTCTTAATACACACCTCCTACTGGTTCTGCTTCTCTGATTGAACCCTGACTGATATACCATGTGGATTCCTTTAAAAAAAAAAAAAAAAGAAAGAAAGAAAGAAAAGAAATGTCAAATTCTTTAAAAGTTTTCTTGGTGCTCTGGTTTTGTGGATAGCTTTGGCATTTTCTAAGCTCTGGGAAAAGAGTGGTGAAAAAGACTTCACCTTTCCACATTTGTGAAAACTGGGCTTATCGGAGTACACCTTGTAGGGTCATTTTAAGTGTTAAATAAATTCCTGAATATAATGCACTTGCAATGATGTCTGGTACACAGTAAATGTCCCAGGAACAGTAGCAGAAATGAAGGACTGCTGAAAGGCAGGAGAGAAAGCTCCCTGCCAACAAGGAGCTTTTGGACTGGAGGAGGGAAGGGATGATAAAGTCAGAATGGAAGGGAAGAGGAAGAGAGACTGACTTACATGATGGTGATAAATGCCTCCAATGCTTGTTTAAAGATTTCTTTTAATATCCAAAAGGGCAGATTTATTATAAAAAGGGAGAGAAGAGTAAGGGACGCTTGCTGAGACACAAACGGGCAGAAAGCTGCCCTGCAAGGGACAGGTTTGTTAAAAGAGAGGCCTGCATAGTCACAAGTAGGCAGGCTTGAGAGAAGAGCTGCCTCTGCTGCTTTGCGAAGGGAGAAGGCTGGCAAAGAGGAACGCCTGCACAGGCACAGGCGGGCAGGAGGGCTGCCGCTGCTGGTTTACAACTTTAGACAGGCAGTGGTTACCAGCCCACTGACCAAATTCAGCCTGCCATCTGCTTTCACGTGACTCATGAGCTAAGAATGGTTTCCACATTTTTAAAAGGCTGAAAATAAAATCAAAAGAATATATCATGAGATGGGAAAATGACGTGAATTTCAAATTTCAATCTCCATAGAATTTTTTTTTTACCATTTTCTTTTCTTTTCCTTTTTTTTTTTTTTTTTTTTAAAGATTTATCTATTTATGCATACAAGAGCTGGGGTACAGGTCAGAGATGTGGGGGGTGAGAGGGTTCACCAGAGACAGACTGGGAAACAGAACAGGCAGACTGACAGAAGTACATTGCTGAGGGGAGTAGCGGGCGAGTCAGGAGAGGTCTGCTGCGCCATGTGGGTTGCTCCCTGGCTGGCTGGGAATTGAACTTGTGCTGCAGTGGCTGTGGATTGCTTCATAGGTTGCTTCCTAACCCTTGAGTCCCCAGTGAGGCCCAATCTCCATAGAATTTTATTGGAATGCAGCCAGGCCTATTTAAATCATCTGTGGCAGCTTTGCCACTATAGCCTAGGAGCTGAGTTGTTTCAACAGAGAGCACAAGGCCTAAAATACTTCCTGGATCTTTACAAAAGTCTGTTACCTTGCTTTAGACTGAGTGTTCAAGGAGAGCTTCCCTGAAGAGGTGGCTTTTAAGCTGAGAGCTGAATAAAAAGAAAGCTTGGATCTAGGAGAATAGGACAAGAACTAAGTAAGAGCTTTCTCTACCCCCTTAACAGCCTTTGAAAGAGGGGCTCTGTAGAAAACTTTGGGGCCCTGAGACTCTAAGGGTGCTGGGTTGGGTGTCTAAGGTTACAGAGCCTAAGGTCCTAAGTTAGGGCAGCACAGGGCTGCCTGGCACCAGAGCATGCAGTAATCTGTGCCAGACCCAAATCAGCCTAGCACTTCCCAGGAGCCCAGGAACTGCATGTTAAGTGGTTTTATTTGCCTGCCTCAGGGCAATGACTGGGGATTTTGCAATAGATTCCTTCCCGGGAATAGGTGGGAAGGACCTGACCTTGCCCATAGGCTTGAGAGCAGGTGCTCTGCAACTTCTTGATTGGCTGCAGAACCATGACAGCCACAAAGGCTGGACCTGACCCTGACAACAGGAGCTATGACAAGGGCATAGCAGGAGCTATGATGGCAGGCAGAACCAGGCAGCTCTTGGAGAACGAACGCAGGGTCCAGCTTTTCTCCTGCCTGGCCCACAGCCTGCACCCTGAAGTGAAGAGGCTCACCCCCAGCCCATAGGGGTCTGACCCCAGCTAGGTGGGGCTGTCTGGGCTGGAAGATGAATAACAGCCTCAAGTTCTCAGTCAATGTCTCTCTCTGAGAGAACCCAGCTCTCCATCCTCTCTGGGCCAGTTCATTCCTGACAGGCTCTGCGTTACAAGCACAAAGTAAGCTATGAGCCCCAATTTAGAGTCAGAAAAATTACGGGCATCACGAGAAATAGGGGGGACCAAAGAGACAGATTCTGCACCTGAATCGCAGGCTCCACTTGCCAGTTGTGTGACATCAGGAAGGTGGCTTGACTTCTTGATGCTTCAGTTCAGGACTCATGATAGTATCTACCTCAAAGAAATGTTAGGAATTAAGAAAACAATAGCCAGCACCACACCCCAGGAAGGGCTCAATAAACACTGAGTAATCCTAAATACTTTCTCTCCGTTAGTTTTGACAACAAGAGATACTGGAGTGGCAGAGGGCTCTGGGTTTAAGCCAGTGGATCTCCACCCACTTCCTCAGGGCCAAAATCTTGACAAGCTTGATTTTTCTCTTTCTTCTACATGCCACAGTCTAGCAGGAAACCTGATCTTTGAAATATGCACAGAGCCCAAACATTCCTGCCACCTCCGTGGTATCTATCACCTTAACCCAAACTGTCATCTGCTCTCATCTAGATTTTTGCAAAGATTTCCCAGCCCATCTGGGGACTTTCCCTTCCCCCATCACCTCCAATCAACTCTCCACAAGCAAGCAAGCCCTGACAAAAGTTGGGCTGTCCAACTCTTCAAAAATCTTCTGTTTCCTAATACATTTAGAATTAACCAACTTCTTTATTTTATGATCATGTACTATTGAGTTCCGACTCCATGTGTTCTAGGCTTTCGCAATAAAACAACAAAACATATAATCATATGTTGGATGTTAAGGAGAAAAAGAACTCAGGGAGGGGGGAGAGCTTGGATTATAAATGGGCTGGTCAGAGAAGGCTAAGGGATAAGGAAAGGGTTAAACAAAGGCCTGAGAAGTGGGAAAAGTGGTAGCCCAGTGCCTACTAGGAGTAAAGCGTTCTAGATAAAGGCTCATGAGTGCAGAGATGTTCCTGGTGTGCTCCTAGCGCACTGATGAAGCCACTGCGAACACAGTGCAAAGTGTGTAAGAGGAGGGAGGGTGATCGGTCTCTGCTGGGAAGAGGCCCGTTGAGTCTGTAGGTGCTCTCAGATATTTTTCTCTGTGATTGGAAGCCAGTGGAGGTTGTGAGTGGAGTGACAGGGCTTTTAAAGGATCACTACAGCCACTGTGTAGAAAACCATGAGGAACAATGGCAGAGGGGAGAGACCACTGGAGCTGCAGTGACAGCTACACAGAGGAACTAGGAGGGCTTGGACCAGGAAGGGGAGGGAGCAGCAGAGGGGGGTCTTACCATAGGGTGCCAGCCTTCCTGTTGGGGTCCCTCCTATCCCTCCAGTGTCACCTGGCTCCTCACCGTCTCCCCAGCAGCACAGACCACTGCCTCTAACAGATACCTGCTGACTGAATGAATAGACGAAAGGATGATCCACTGTTAGATCATCGCAGCGCATTTTAATGACAAAATTCAATAAATGTTGGTGGTCAGCCCTCTTTACGCTGAGGGACCTGCGGCTCTGCTGGGAAAGTGTCCCCTGGGGACCCTCAGCATGGCCTAGGCCAGAAGCTTCTTTGCCAACTTTTGAGAAGTCCTGGCACTGGTGGAAAGATTGCCTTCACGTGAGTCACAGTTACCTCACAGGAGTTTCCCCCCAAACGTCCCCGCCTTGTGGTGGAAAAGCCAGCATATCTCGGGGGGCCAGACGGTCACGAGGCCCCGGGCACCCACCCGCGGTGAAAGCGCCCCGGGAGCATCCCCCCCTCGCTCGGGCCATAGAGACGAAAGGACAGAAGGGTCGCTCTCCGCAGCCGAGGCCCCGCCCCCCGCTCGCCGGTCAGCCCGCATCTCCAGCGGAAGCCGGAAGCAAACACGGGCCCTCCTAGCCCCGCGGCTCCGAACTCGGTGGTCCTGGAGGCTCCGCAGGATGGGGGAGAACATGGCGGAAGAGGAGTGAGTGGGCTTTTCCAGGGCGGCGGAGGCGGCAGGGCTGGGCTACGGCGGGTGACAGCGAGCGCCACAGGCCGCCCTCCGGCCCCGGAAGGCGGAGCTCCCTGTGCCTTTTGGCCTGGACTGGAGTCCTGGCCCCTGCCAGGAGGGCGGGACGGGAGGGCCTGGGCCGCAGCGGGCCTCGAGCCCCCTGGAGAGCAGAAGCTCGGGCTGGGGCTCCCGCCCAGCGCTGGCTTCAGAAGCCGTCTCGCGAAACCGCAGCCTAAATTTCGCTTTCCCAGTTTTCGGTCATTCTATCATCCAGGAAGTCCCGCACCCCGCATTTTACCAGCTGACTTCCTCTGCTGAAACCATCAGTTTTCGCTTCTGTCTCCACAGTTTCATTCATTCACTCCCTGCTGGCCGTGCCCTTGGTACATGGTAGTGAAGCAGGCTAAGCAGGAGCTGCCCTCAGGGAGCTTGCATCCTAGTGGACAGAGCATAAATAGACAAGACGATTTCAGTACTTTGAAGGAAATGCACTAGTGGGAAAGAGGGAGAGGCTGCTCAGGAAGAAGTGACATGACAGCTCAATCTTTAGCGACCAGAAGGGATAGGAGAGGGAACAGCAAATGCAAAAGGTCTGAAGTGAGAAAGGGACAGAAACAAAGGCAGAAGCACTGGAATATAGAGTACCAGGGGACTGGTTGTGCAAGATGAGCTAGAGAGATGGGGTCTGTATCTTGCAGGTACTTCTGGGTGGGGACCGTCTCCATACCTGTGGGCCATAGCCTTGCTTGTCACAGATGCCCAATCTATGTTTGTGGAATGTATGTAAGAATTACCAAGGAACCCTTGCTTGAAATTTGACTCCCTTGCGGACTTTTCAAATGGGTCTCTTGGTCTGGTGGTCATTTCATTTAATCACCTTACTTATTGAGTTCCTACTTTGTGCCAGACACTGAATCAGGGCCTCAACAACACAACAGCACAAAGCAAAAGAGGTTGTATAATCTAGCGATTTCAGGTTTGTCACAAAGCTTGATTCTACTGCTGGCTAACTGAGATATTGACAAGTTATGCAACCTTGCTGAGACCATGATAATACCCACCTCAGTCGTGTTATATACATTAAATGATAGAGTGTATGTTACCTAGTCCCTGAAATGAAACAGTACTCAATAAGCAATAGCTGTTGTAATGACAATTGTGATGATTATCATGTCAATATTGTACTAAAATATTCCCAACACAGTGTGAGGGGAGAATGGAAGCGAGGGATAGAGTGGGGTATTGCAAAAGAAGTTGCATTTGAGCCTTGAGAAATCTGAGACTATTTGCCCAGATCAACAGTTGGGCAAATGCAGGTGACTTCTTCACCATGTGGAAGTAATCCAAGGAAAAGAATGTAAATTGGAGAAATAAAGGCATCAAAAAAATAATGTTGGACCTTGGAATGTGACAGGACACCCCTTTGCCTCTGTTTAAAGCCACATTAAATGCCAAAGAGCAGGCGGCATTTTGTTTATGGCCCAGCCTGGATTTCCTCTTGTTCTTGTCTTCTAAGTGGTTGTGTTTTGAAGCACTGAGGCCTCTTGTATCCTCCTGTGATGGCAAACAGAACTTTTCTTAAATCAATTTCTTTCCTATGCATGCCTATTCATTGCAAGACTTCTGATTCCCCTAAAGCTCTATGCCAGGTTCTCCTGAGGGTTGTATAGTGTGTGTGTGTGTGTGTGTGTGTGTGTGTGTGTGTTGCACTGATACCCAGGGCCCTTTTTTCCTTTCTCTAATTCCACTGCTTTTTATGTCCTCCAACAGGTTCCCCAATACAACTCATGAAGCTTTCAATGTCACCCTCCACACCACCCTCCTTGTCACTACGAAACTGGTGCTCCCCACCCCTGCCAAGCCCATTCTCCCAGTGCAGACGGGGGAGCAGGCTCAGCAGGAGGAGCAGTCAAGCGGCATGACCATTTTCTTCAGCCTCCTGGTCCTAGGTGATTGCAGAGACACCATCATCTGCCATCTTAAGTGTCTGTGTGGGCTGTCTGTATGGTTAATCCTGTCGTTTAAACCTCTATTTACCTTGTCAAATCTTCCATTTGGTTTTCATTTCAAACACTAAGGGACAATAATCATTTCATACCATAATAGAGTTACTCTTTAGCAGTTCTGACGTGACCTTTATGTAATAACTTAGATATACTTTGAAAGCAAGAATGAAAGAATTTTTGACTTCAAAAGAACCTTGAACATCTGGTAGTTTAGTGGATTTCAAACTCTGCTCATAAGAGAGAGTGAGAGCTGCTAGTGGTTGCAAGAGGTGGAGGGGAGTCAAATGAAAGGGCACACAACTTTCTGACCAGAGCTGAGTTATGTCTATTGTAGCTGTTACTTGGCTTCCATATAAAGTTTTAATGAAGGGTTTTGCTGCCGATCAAAAGATCAGACACCTTTTCCGTGACGCAGTCGCCCTTAACCTCTGCCATTCCCATTAGCCATTGTCATGACTTGACAAATCTATGTACCACCTGTGCTTTTCTTTCAAAATCTCATTTTATCAAGGCACCTCCTTTAGCAAGGAAGGAGATTTAGGCCCAGAGAGGTTATGTGATTGGCATGCCTTCTTTTTGGGAGTCTAGACATTGATCCAGGTTGCCCAATATCAGAAGCTTAGATAAAAGGCAATAACTGAAATGTTTCCCAGACACTGGAAAGTAAATAAAGTTCTACACCAAAAAAATCCAGTTGAAACTGCATAACCACTTTGGATTAGCTGACTGAGGAAGAAATAGCTTAGAAGTTGACCCAAGTCCAAGCTCACGTAGACATAGTGAAGTCGGCATGTTGACATTTCCTATTCTTTAATGATACTGAGTCATATTTCTAATTAGATCAGATCTTTTCAGAAGAGTGAAAGGTACAATTGGATTACAAGGTGCAGGAAATTCTCTGATGACTATGAGGACCGGTTTTGGTTTTTGGTTTTTTTGGGGGTTTTTTTTTTTTTGGTTTGTTTTTGAGGAAAAGTGTAGCCTCTTTTACATTTATATTTAGACTATTAATGGTCAAATAATTTTAATAATATAATTATTTTAAAATATAATTTTATTTAAAATCCTAGGACTTAACTCTCATAGGCTTTTTAAATCTTTTACATTGATTATTGATAAGTACTCAAGATGTACAAGTTTCTAGTCAACTCTTTTTTTACTAGTAGCTAAAAGACTGATCTAGGATTCTTTCCATTCATGGGACAAAACCAATTCAAATTGATTCAAAGAAAACAAACTGTAGGGGTGGAGTTGCATACTCATTGGCAAATGGAACCCCAAAACTACCAGTGGCGTCATCTTCAGACTTAGCTGGGTTGGGTCTCCCAGAAAAGGTACTCAGTGCACACGTCGCCGTGCTCAAGTGTAGTGTCCCACCCAGATTTATGGTGCCCAGGCCATTGTTTTGTCGAAAATGTAGTTGAATTCTATTTCTAAGGGATTATTTGAACAATCAAGAACATTGTGTTTTCCTTTTTGTCATGGTAGTTAAACACAAAGAAGAAATGCAGTTCTTTTCTTGATCAAGAAATATTTACACCTGAGTCCTTAATCCAAAAGGAGTATGATTAGTCTGTTTACATTGTTGTTAACTTGATATTTTAGAGAATATAAAAAGCAGCTCTGGAAAAAATCTTTTATTTTGTAATCACTTTTTTTAACGGGAAGATGAAAAGAGTAAGACTTTTCAAAGCAGTTTTCAGGGTGTGGAGTATTTAAGATTAGCTTGTGCCAGAGACTACAAAACAGGTTTTTATAACATGCTTTTTAATCTAGGCAAAATCCTGCCTAGTGTTAATACATGTTTGTGGCCAGAAAGGGCTGACCTGTATTTTTTCTCCTGGATTGTCTTTTCTTCAAAGAGATCATAAACCTATACTGTACAATCACATTAAGGTGGTTTCCTTTTCACCTAATCAGATTCTGGACAGTTTGAGTTGGTATCTCAAGTTTAATGTGTGGGTCAACATGCATAACAGAATGGAATGAATTTGAAAGCATTTTTTTTCCTCTGATCTTATATATTATCAACAAGATACATGTATCTTGTATTTTTGTTCCCGATTAGATGTCAAAAAATGTAAATTTGATAAAGTAAAAAAAATTATTGTTAATAGATAACTTTGGTGAATTGAGGAAATCAGTCCACCGTTCATTGCAGATTTTAGGAGCTCCTGGCCTGTAACACAGTCACTGCCACTTTTATTTACTATTTCAGTTAAGTGAAATGAAATTGTAACTTTCATGTCCTATAAGCATGTCAGAGGATTACAATGTGTGTCCCTTTATTTTATTTTTGTGTAGAAGAACTGGGGTGTAGGTCAGAGGTGCAGGGGGTGAGAGGATTCACCAGAGACAGAGTGGGGAGCAGAATGGGCAGATTGACTGAAGTACACTCCTGAGGGGAGCAGTGGGAGAGACAGGAGAGGTCTACTGTGCCATGTGGGTTAGCTCCCTGGCCTGGGATTGAACTCAGGCCATAGAGGTGATAGCGCTGACTTAACCCTTGGGCCACTAGGGAGGTATTCCCCTTTGTCGAGAAGGATTCCAAAGGTCAGTCACTTTGACTTTTAGAAGCTTGAAATCTTCTGACTTTTAACCCTTGCGATCTTTGACTCCATAGAAGGAATGGTGAGTCACAGTTATTGACTTACACTAGAGTTAACAATTAGTATCATTTGACACAAACATTTTTGCAATGGGCTATTAAATTTAAGTTATTAAAATTGATGTGTCTGTTTTAATATAGTTTCCATAATTATTACCTCAAACATGAAAAATTAGAAGCATATTAATTTGCGCTATACCTTACAAGAGGGTTTTTTTTCCCTTCTTGCTCTCTTTTTCCAAGTGTATTTGAAAAAAGATGTATTGACAATCATATTTGTAAGCATGGGCATTTGTTTTAATATGTACGGAGCCCTATACCTTGCTTTTTCATCTCACACAATGTCTTTGACGTCTTTCCATGTTAGCGTTTCCTGTATCTAATGTTTTTTTTTAAAGATGTGCATGTGGTAAAATAAATATAACATTAGAACCATGGACCATTTGGAAGCGTACAATTCAGCATCATTTAGTATATTCACAATGTTGTATAACCATCACCACTGTCTGGTTATTGACATCACCAGAACATTTTCATCCCTCCAAGAAGGAAACCTAGTGTTATTAAAAGTAGTCACTGCGCTTCCTCCCTTATCCCTCCCCAGTCTCTGGTAAATACTGTTTTCTGTCTACCTCTAGGAATTTGCTTATTCAAAATATTTTATACAAATGGAATCATACAATCTGTGGCCTTCATATCTGGCTTCTTTCACTTAGCATCATGTTTTCCAGGCCCATGCAAGCTGTGGCCTGTGTCAGAATGGCGTTCCATTTTATGGCCAAATAGTATTCCATTGTATGGCTCTTCCACATCATCTGGCCATTCATTAGTTGATGGACATTGAGTTGTTTCCTCTTTTTGGCTATTGTGAGTAATGCTGCTGTGAACTATTATGTGTAGTGTGTGGACCTGTTTTTATTTCTCCCAGATATATACCTAGAGTGGAATTGCTGGGTTGAACAGTAACTCTGTGTGTATCTTTCTCAGGAACTGCCAGACTTTTTACAGAAGCTGCACCATTTCACATTTGTACCATCAATGTGTTTGGATTCTAATCTTTCCACATGCTTGCCAACACTTGTCTTTTTCCCAATTTTGTTTTGCTTTTTAGTTATAGTCATCCTATGAGTATGAAGTTGTTTCTCTTTTTGATTTTGACTTGCATTTTTCTAATGAATAATAACGTTGGGCATATTTGCATGCGCTTATTGGCCATTTGTATGTCTTTGGAGAGATATCTGTTCCGCTCCTTTGCCTCTTTAAAGTTGCATTTTTGTTGTTGAATTATACGAGTAGATATTCTAGAAGCTAGACCCTTACAAAATGTTATTTACAAATATGTTCTCCCACCTGTGGGTGGTTTTTTCGGACCTCATTGGCTGACAATTCCCTGACTCTGACAACCCTGTGTTTAACGGTCTGTGGACAGTTTTCCCCTTTGTTTTTTTACTTAGGAGCAAATAGTTGTTTGCTGTATGTGAGTAAATTTTTTAAGTTAATTTTTTCTTCCAGCTTGATGCAAAGAAAGAGAGGACACTGATTCAGCTTCCTAGACCTTTTTATTTCTCTTCCCTTTTTCTGCCCCCTAGACCGTAGGCCTGCTGGCCGGCCCTGTGTTATGCTTATACATTGGAACTTTTTTCTTGCTCTTAGAATATAATGTAGAATTTTTCTAACTGGGTTAAATATTTATAATAAAATAACACTACAGATTGATAGTTTAAAGCACAGAATGAAAGGAGGACAAAATTTCTATATTTATAACTGTTTCCTTTCTCTGCCACCTGGTACTTTTTGGTGGGAATAAAGATACCCAACTTGTCAGTGCTGGCTCTGAGGGTAGCCAGTTAACAGCTCAGAGATTGTTGAAACATTTCCTTTTCCAAAAAAAAAAAAAGCAAAATTATTTTTAGTACTGTTAAAATAATACTGTGATTGATGCAAAGGTTTACCAGGTGCCTAGTGAGAGAGAGAGGCATGCACACTAACGTACATTTAGGAATTATTTATGTGAACATACACATTTTTATTTTTGGTCCAAAAATACTTATTCCTTTCAATAGTTTTACATCCATTTGTTTCCTTTCTTTCATGACAGCACCCATGAGCAGAAAGTCAGATATTGTGCTTATTTTTAATTTTTCAAGATGTATTTATTTATGTGTACAAGAACTGGGGTATAAGCCAGAGCTGTTGGGGAGTTGAGAGCATTCACCAGAGGCAGAGTGGGGAGCAGAACAGGTGAATCTCCTGAAATACACTGTTGAGGGGAGCAGCAGGGAGACAGGAGAGCTCTGCTGTGCCATGCAGGTCAGCTTCCTGGCCAGGGATCAAACTCATGCCCGCAGTGGCTGGCGATAGCTTGGTAGTGTTGAGACTTTAACCCCTGTGTCACCAGGGAGGCCCACTGTGCTTATTTTGGTGACTGAGGAGGGAAGGCAGCTGGGCGGTAAGCAGTGGGTGCCCATGCTTCCGGCCCTGCATGGGAATGGGCCTTCACACTGCAGTACCTACCAGTGATGTGACTTAAGCCTCAGTCTTCTCACCTCTAATCAATGGACACAGTGGTGATAATAGCTAGTGCAGAGAGGTGCCAGGGGTCCAAGGAGCCATTATTTGGGAAGTGCTTGGTGCAGCGCCTGGTTCACAGGGATCTCTCAACTAGTGGGAGCCCCAATACCTATCTGGGGAGCAGGAACCCCATCTGTAGGTCTCTGATGTTATCATCAAACCAGGGGTGTTCTGTGGTTAAAACTTCCTCATTTCCTTCTATGGTGGCAAAAGACTTTGTGTTAACATATTCTGTTGGAGTTACATTTACATGAAAGCCAGTGACTTCCTTGACTTTCTCCTCACCATTTAGAGTTTTCTAGTTGATTACTTCTAAAAAGTTGAGGAACATTTCTCAGAATCAGGGACATTTGAATAATTTTATTTTTTTTAAACTCCTTTTTTGAGGAGTTAGTTTATTTTTTATTTATTTATTTTTAAGATTTATTTATTTATTTATACAAGCACTGGGTACAGTCAGAAGCGCGGGAGGGTGAGAGAATTCACCAGAGCGGGGAGCAGAGCAGGCAGAAGGACCCAAGTACACTGCTGAGGGGAGCAGCGGGCGGCAGGAGAGGTCTGCGTGCCATGTGGGACCCTCCTCCGGTGGCTGGGGAGCGCTGGGAATCAAACCAGCACTGCAGAGGCTGCGGGCAGCTTCGTAACCCAGCGCTCAACCGCTGCGCCACTGGGGAGGCCCACATTTGAATAATTTTAAATGGTGATAGAAGGTTTAACCACTTAGGGAAAAAAATTAGATGTCTGTTGCCCTTTCTAGAATCACTGGAAAATAAACTAGTTCAGACATGAAAAAAAAAAAAGAATGGAGGGCCTCCCTGGTGGCGCAGCAGTTAAAGACAGCACTGTCAAGCTATCTCTAGCCACTGTAGCATGAGTTCAATCTCCAGCCGGTCAGAGAACTACCCACATGGTGCAGCAGACCTCTCCTGCCTCGCCCACTATTCCCTCAGCAGTGTATTTCAGTAGATCCTCCTGTTTTGCTCCCTACTCTCTATGGTGAATCCTCTCACCACCGCCCACCCCCCTCCAACACCTCTGGCTTACAGACCAGTTCTTGTATGCATAAATCTTAAAAAAAAAAAAAAAAAAAGGGAGAAAATGTAATGTGTTCTGAGTCTATGTCCAGGTTTAGAAATAAAAGACTGAGAATACAACTGAAGTTTTCTATGTCATTGCCAGTTTCCATTTCCCTGGGAGCCTCCCAGTAGTAACATTGAACTTGATGTTTATCATTCAAAAAATCAGACTGTGATAACAATGTCTCATTTTTCCCTACAGCTATCTGCATCATATTAGTGCATTTACTGATCCGATACAGATTACATTTCTTACCAGAGAGTGTGGCTGTTGTTTCTTTAGGTAAGTGCTTATTGGTAATTCTATAATAAAAGTAGTAACACTAACTACCATTTTTTGAGTGCCTCCTTAATGCCCCAGGAACCACAAGAAATTAAGTACATACCTGATTTCATTTAATGCTTACTGCAGTCTGGACAAGGGTGTTATGATCCCGTTCTACAGATGAGGACACAGGCAGTGACCTCCTAAACGTCACACCTCATGGCTCAGTTCTCCTAGAGCTACCCTTGGGGTACACTGACCTCTGGGTGGGAATGGGCTTCTAGGAAGTGCTGATACCCAGCTCAACTAAGGCAAGTAATTAACAGTTCATAGAATTGATGATTTTGCAGGCAGAAGTGTCTCTCACGTAATAGTTGAGAAATGGCTCGCTTTTATGTCAGTCAGAGTTAAAGTCTCTGAGAGCATTTCATTCTACCCCAGTTACATTTCTCTTTTGTTTCCTGTGGCAATTAACTGTTAAGGTAATTAGCCTCTAGAGGGGATGGATGAGTGTAATAACAGGTGTGAGCTCACACACTGGTTCATTGAAGTGGTTTGTGAAGAAGCAGGGACCTTACCACATTTTCAGTATTAAAATCAAGACTAAAATGTGGGTGGGAATGCTTCAGGCATAGTAAATAAGGTTTTAGTAATGTCAGCTAAGCTTACCTTCATTTTTTATATTGTAGTTGTGTTTGCTAGTTTCCACTTGCCCACTAACAACGTTTAATTTTTCCTTATCGCTGCTGAAGCTTTACAAGGCTCTTTTCCTTGTCGATCTTGTTTAGTATATTTCATGATTCTTTCACAATATAGTGATGGTTTAGATTAGCTTTGAAGCCGAACATTCAGACTCTCCCCGTTCACCTTCCCCCATTACCAGCTGTGCTCCTACTACCCTGGTTCAGCACCTCGAATTGGTCTGGACTTCATGATACTAAGACGTGCCAGATCCTGGCCTGTTTTCATATTGCCATCTCATTTAAACCTCATAATCCCTAGGTAATGTTACATTTTAAGGAAGAGACTCAACCAGATAATATTGACTTTCAGTAAAGAGAAGACAGTTTTGCTCAAAGAGTCCTTGCTCTGTATTTAGGAGACCCTTCAGCTGCACATCTTCGTGAGTGTAACAAACTTAGCCAAGGAGATAGTCTGAGAGCTCTAGAAATGGGAGGATAGTTCATTAACATCTCTTTCTTGCCGTTAGGCTCATTGAAAATAAGCTGCATAACTAATACTCATTATTCTGGGGCATTTCTTAAAGACCTGTAAGGAATACTCCAAGGAATTTAAAGGCTTGCGGTCAGTTTCCATAATTCCTTAAAAATAAGAACTAAAATTATTGTGCACTTAACACAAATGGAAATTAAAATGGTTTGTATCATTTGGTCTAGAATGTCAAGTTCTTGGCTGTTTGCGTGAATGTTTGGGTATGGATAGCTTAGTGAATACCAGTGCTTGTATTGGAACTTACAGTAGACAGTGTTAGTTGCCTATCCAAGAGCCACCTCCCCCTTCAGTAGACCCCTAATTTTGGTCAGGTGTCTTGCTAGAGACTCAGGGAAGATGGGCCCCTCCGAGTCACTTGGCCTTCACCCTCATGACTCCACTCTCCTTTGATGGTGAGTAGTTGAGAAGAACAGAGGCAGCGAGTCAGAGTGAGAGCAAGGACAAGTGGTGGGTTTTGAACATGTTTTTCCTCTCTGATAAAAAGAAATTTCCCGCGTATTAGGATGTGAAGCTTGGAGCACAGGTAGCCATCTTGCAATCACTGTGATTCCGAGACAGAAGCCAGTAGAAATCTGAGGATTGCCAGGGTGAAGACAACCCGGTGGCTTGACTGTGCTGTAGTGTGGAATTGATAGTTCTGGAGCTCCCTGTCCTGGAGCTGCCTGTTACATGAGAAAATAAACATCTTTTGCTTAAGCCATTTTTTAGTCAGGTGTTCTTTCACTTGTAGCTCAAAAACTGATCTAGGACTTTTTCCATTCATGGGACAAAACCAATTCAAATTGATTCAAAGAAAACAAACTGTTGGGGTGGGGTTGCATATTCATTGGCGAATGGAACCCCAAAACTACTAGGGGCGCCAGCTTCAGACTTAGCTGGTCAGTCTCCCAGACTCGGTTTTTCTGTTTCTCAACACTGTTTTCCTTTGTTTTGGCTGCACTCTCAGGCAGGCTCTCTCCATGTGGGAAGTTGTTATAGCTTCAGGCTTACTGTTCTTACAATAACAATCCCAGTGGGAAAGGTGACCTCCTTTTCTCCTTGGTTGCACCAGAAGTCGTAGGATGAACTCTGACCAGATGGCCACCCCAGAACTGAGCATGGGGTGGAATGGTGAGGGCTCAGCCAAGGCTTTCTGTCCACAGGATTCACTTCTTGACTGATGCCGCAAAAATACTGATGTGTAGCTAGTCTAGTCAGGTCTTGGGAGGGGTGATGAGAAGGTAAGTCTTGCTTTCGAAACATACCTGCTAACTCTGGTGACTGCAAAGCTAAGAGCTCTTCCAGGGCAAGAGTGCTGGGGATCCAGAGGTATTTTTTATTTTATTAGGACATTTGGTTAGAATTTAGAAATGCTGACAAAGCTATCAAAATAATTCTGTATTGCATGGAAATTTCAAGAAAGCTTTTTTTCTCCTACTGGAGCAAAGTATAACAAAATATTGAGAGAGCCACCATTCAAGAATTTCTAACTTTTGTGCCAAAAAAAAGAATCTAGATGAAGGTGCCAGAGAAAATGGGGTTTTCATCCGTTCTGGGATAAATTCCTAGCCTACCTCTTCTAACCAAAAGTTACTTTATAGTCTGCAGTCACTTAGAGATATTATCCGCCTTTTGTGTTACAAAGCAGATAGAGCTTAAGCAGATAGAGCTCTTAAGAACTCTTGGTATGGAAAAAAAGATTATCTGTGCTCTAAAAGAGCATTCCCCCTTCCCTTCTCTTTTATTGTATTTTCAAATTACAAGACTTTGTTTATTCTTTATAAAAACATAATATTAACATGAAGTTCTAAAGATGTTTCCTTGGCCTTTATTCAAAGCTTTGAGATACTTGCTGTACTTTATGTATTTCTGTAGTTTGAGCCTTTTGGGGAAACAAAACTTTTTCATAACAGTTACACAGAAAAAAAAAATCATCTTCACAGACAACTTCAACTATTTTTATCACGCTTCATTCTTTTCCAAACCATGTGTGGACATTTACATAAGGATCACATGACTTGCTTTGAGTTTATATTATTTTTTGTGTTTTTATTGTTCTTTTCATGTATTAGTTAAGTTCACATATTTATTTTAAAAATATTTTATTTATTTATGCATACAACAGCTGGGGAACAGGCCAGAGGTGTGGGGGGTGAGAGGATTCACCAGAGACAGAGTGGGGAACAGAACAGGCAGACTGACCGAAACACAGTGCTGAGGGGAGCAGCGGGCGCAACAGGAAAGGTCTGCTTTGCCATGTGGGTTGCTCCCTGGTGGGCCGGGGATCAAACTCATGCTGCAGAGACTGCGTATTGCTTCATAGTGCTGTGCTTAACCCCGTGCACCAGCAGGGAGGCCCCTAAGTTCACATATTTATTTTTACTGGCCATCTAGTGCTGATTCACTGTGTATGTATTTTGGATTGAAATTTATAAGGAACAAAAATGAAATAATCACAGTGCCCACTCTCCTCTGTTGTATATACCAAGGACAGGAGCAGTGTATTTGGCCCCAGGATCTGAGTGAGGAAAGGCCAGAACAATGTTAAGTAAAGGGCTGGAAGTTTGACTTTGAAATGTCAAGGTCTATCCTGAATCTGCTGATCATTAGAAAACCTGCTGATGTGTTACCTTGTCAACTAGATTTGCTTGAATCATTAAGTAAATTATACAAAAATGCTCCCCTACCAAAGCTGAAACTATGTTCGTGTTTTTTTTTGTTTTTTTTTTTAAAGAACAGTGTTGTTTTTGTCAATGGTGGTTTTGAGTGGAAGATGAGAAAAAAAAAAAATTAGTTCTAGAGTTACTGACTAGGGCCTCCCTAGTAGCCTAGGGGAGTCTCAATGCTGTCACCACTATTGGCCCAAGTTTGATCCCCCAAGTTCCATTGCTGGCCAGGGAGCTAGCCCACATGTGGTACAGACCTCTCCTGTCTCACCCACTGCTCCCCTTAGCAGTGTATGTCAGTAAATCTGCCTGTTCTGCACCCCACTCTGTCTGATGAATCCTCTCACCACCTGCACCTCTGGCCTAAACCCCAGTTCTTCTATGCCAAAAAACCCGCAAAAACAAAGTTACTGACTGAAGGTAATTCTGGGAAAAAACAGGTAAGTATAATTAGAACATTATTACTGGAAGTTCTTTTTTTTTTTTTGAATGTTTAAAACTTACCTAGGGAGAATCCTAATTGTAGCTGAACAGCTCTCAGTGCCTTTTAGACTAACAGACCCTGACCAATGCTGACACTGCGTAAAATGCCCTGTGGACAACTCTCCCTGAATCTTAGATGCTTTGCTTTTTATTATAGAAGAAACTGGAGCTAGTGGGTAAGACTAGATGAGAGGAACTTCTGAGTGAGAGGGAAACTTGTGTCCCTGCACAAAGAGGCTCCTCTGCTCAGCTGACCACTGCTTTATGCAAAACACCTGCCTTTCCACTTACCGTTGCCTGGCGCCAAAACAGAGGCAACCTCCACTCCATGCATGCCTGCTGTCTCTAACTAGAGTTAGAAGCACCTCGGCCCTGGCCTCAGGGCCAGGCTGAACTGACTCAGGCCAGGTCTTCATCCAACCATAATTGTCCCCTTCCCCAGTGCTAACCCCCAAGAGAAGGGGGGGTTGTGTCTGGCCACCTGTTCACACATCTGTTCACAGGGTACCTGTGGTCTCTAGACCTGCACAAGCCTAATCACTAACATAGCACTTCCACCTTATAAGGATCGCACACTTGGCATAGTGTACCAACTATGAACCTGGCTGCTGGGCACTTGCAGTCACAGCTTAGATGTGGTCTCTACTAGGGCCCAGT